ATTCTCAAAATTGCACACAAAGGAAAATTGTTTTATTTTAAATTTTTGGGAGTAATTCTCACATAGGGAAAAAATCACGTGCTCACAATGGCTTTACGAGAAAGCCAGTTAGAAGAATACCAGCCTCATAAGAAGTCAGTATGAAGCTCCCACTGGATTGTGTATATGCCAGAGATGCAAGTACTATAATAGACCTTCATGTTGTGGATGTGAATCATACCTATGTTGAAGGGAGGTCATGAAAGAGATAGAAGATGTGATGCGAGATTTTAAGGTAAGTAAGGTAAAGGTGAATAACGTACGAGATACTCAAATGCAGAAGGTTGTGAATAGTCCATACTTCGGATAGAAGGCTAGAAGCGCGGGGATTCAGTATCCAGGAATAATAGCAACATCGTCAGTGGAATATCTTCCAGCCTATGGTTTCTTAGTATCGAGAGGTCTAGTTAAGAGAGTAAAGAAGAGTTAGAGACGATGATGTTCCAGAATAACACAACGAAATCGGTCGCAAGCTAAAGTATGGTAGAGTGACAAAGTATTAGGAAGATAGGAGTAAAGATAAGAAAAGGCAAGTGAGAAGGTCACGAGAATGGATAAGTCCTCGGGATTAAGCCCATGAAAACAAGAGAGCTGATAGTTTCTCTAAGTTATAGAAAGTTCAGTATATCCTGAATAAACTCAAAGGAGTCTAAGACTAATAGCATTTAGAAGAGATGGAATGCTGCCCTAGTAGTAGAATGACAGTGTAATTATGATAGATAAAGAATGACGTTTGGCCTTCGATTGAGTAATGATTTTGAAGGAAAAAAAAAGAAGAAGAGGGATTTCATGAATTGTACAGGATTAAAATACCCACGTAAGTGAATCACATTGGGATGCTATGAAATATGGTTATGAAAGTATATTACCGCCCCAGGTGGATCAGTCTAATCATTTCAGATGTTCCCCGATGAGACGTGAACCCTAGCGGCAGTGTTACATAAGAGGTCAAGTTATTAGTGGTAGATTATAGATCAACATTAAGGTGAATCGACAATAGATGGATAAAAGTTCAACAGTAGGAGGTGAGATTAGCTCATCATTCTTAAGATGAACAGTAATGAAGAAGCATTAAAGGACTAACTAGATGCATTAAAGCCTTGTGGATAGATAACTAGGTCTATCAAATAAGATATAGCAATATTCATAAGTTTGACAAAATACCGAGCGAAGTTTTTTGTCATTTTAGGGCCATAAAACTGGAATTTTGCCCGATTCCTAGATTTTTGTGTGCTATGCCCATGCAATCTGCATGGGCCCACACGACCAGACACGGATAACCAAAAATTTTACCGACCCATCAAAAATTACCTAAGGAACATTACCCATTGCCCCGCCATGACAGTTCCTCATTTTTCGGCGTTTTAGGGCCATAAAACTGTAATTTCGTCTGATTCCCATATTTTTATGTGTTATAACCCACGCCATCTGCATGGGACTGAGCGACTGGACCCGAATCGCCTAAAATTTTATAGGCCTATCAAAAGCGGCTTAAGGAATAATAATCAATACCTCGCCATAACCGTTCCTCGTTTTTTAGCATTTTAAGGCCATAAAACTGAAATTCAGCCCCATTTCCAAATTTTTGTGTGTTATAGCCCATGTTACCTGCATGGGCCCGGGCGACATTTTAGAGTCATAAAACTGGAATTTTGCCCAATATCTAGATTTTCATATGCTATAGTCACACCATCTGCATAGGCTAGGGTGATCAGGCCCGGATCACATAAAATTTTGTTGGCCCATCAAAAATGACCTAAAGAACAATAGTTATCGCCCCGCCATAGTTGTTCCTTGTTTATTGGTGTTTTAGGACCATAAAACTGATATTCCGCATGATTTTCAGATTTTCGTGTGCTTTAGTCCACGCCATCTGCATGGGCTCGGGTGACCAAACCCATATCACCTAATTTTGTCGGTCCATAAAAATCGACCTAAGGATCAATAATCATTACCTCACCATGACTGTTCCTCGTTTTCGGCATTTTAGGGCCGTAAAACTTGAATTTCGCCTGATTCCCTGATTTTCGTGTGCAATAGCCAACGCCATCTGCATGGGCTTGGTCGACCGGACGCGAATCGCTTAAAATTTTGTTGGCCCATCAAAAATGACCAAAGGAACAATAGGAATCGCCTCGCCATGACCGTTCCTCATTTGTTGGTGTTTAGGTTCATAAAACTGGAATACCGCCTGATATTCAGATTTTTGTGTATTATAGCTCACGCCATCTGCATTGGCTCGGGCAACCGGACCTAGATCGCCTAATATTTTGCCGGCCCATCAAATATTATCTAAGAAATAATTGTCATCGCCTTGTCACGATCGTTCCTCTTTTTTTGGCATTTTAGGACCATAAATAGGAATTTTGCTTGATTCCCAGATTTTCGTACGCTATAGTACACGCTTTCCACGTGGGTTCGGGAACCTTGACCCGAACCGCCTAAAATTATTTATGCCCATAAAAAATGACCTAAGGAACATTATCCACCGTACCGCCATGACCAGTCCTCATTTTGTGGTGTTTTAGGGCCATAAATGTGAATTCCACCTGATTACAAATTTTTGTGTGCTATCCCACGCCTTCTACATGGGCCAGGGCACCCGGACCGCCTAAAATTTTGTCGAACCATAAAAAATGACCTAAGGAATATTAGTCATCGTCATGATTGTTCCTCCTTTTTGGCATTTTAAGGACATAAAATAGGAATTCCTCCCGATTCTTTAATTTTCGTTTTCTATATCCCACGTCACCGGCATGGGCCCAGGCGGCTGACCCGGATCACCTAAAATTTTGCCGGACCAACTAAAATGACCTAAGGAACATTAGTCATCGCTTCGCCATGACCGTTTCTTCTTTTTTGGTGTTTTAGGACCATAAAATAGGAATTTCGCCTGATTCTGAGATTTTCTTGTGCTGTAGCTCATGCCACCAACGTGCGCCCTGGTGCCCATCAAAATAGACCTAAGGAATATTATTCATCACCTCGCCATGACCGTTCCTCATTTTAGCGCTTTAGGACCATAAAACCGGAATTCCACTCGATTCTTAGATTTTCATGTGCTATAGCCCACGCCATTTGTATGGGCCCGGGTGACCGGACCTGGATCATCTAAAATTTTGTCGGCCCATAAAAAATAGCCTAAGTAACAACAATCGTCATCTTGCCATGACAGTTCCTTGTTTTCTAGCATTTTACGTCCATAAAACTGGAATTCCGCTCGATTTACAGATTTTCGTGTGCTACAGTCTACACCATCTGCATGATCTCGGACGACTGGACCCGGATCGCCTAAATTTTGTTGGCCAATCAAAAACGACCTAAGAAACAATAGTCATAGCTTCGGTTTGACTGTTATTTGTTTTTTGGCATTTTAGGGCCAAAAAACTAGAATTCAAGTCGATTTTAAAAATTTCGTCTGCTATAGTCCACGCCATCTGCATGAATCCTGACTACTGGATTTGAATTGTTTAAAATTTTGCGAGGCCATTAAAAATGAGCTAATGAACAATAGTCATTGCTTCGATATGACCGTTATTTTCATGTGCTATAGGTCACGTCATCTGCATGAATCTGAGTTACTAGAACTGAATAGTCTAATATTTTGCGGGGCCATAAAAAATGACCTAATGAACAATATTGAGGGCTTCAACATGACTGTTCCTCGTTTTTTGCCATTTTAGTTCCAAAAAATTAGAATTCGGGCTGATTGCCATTTTCGTATGCTATATTCCACGCTATCTGCATGAATCCGAGCTACCGGATCCGAATCGCTTAAAATTTGCGGGGCTATAAAAAATGGCCTAACAAACAATAGTTATGTATTCGGCATGAGTACCTCATTTTTTGGCATTTTAGGGCCAAAAAATATAATTCAGGTCGATTTTTAAATTTTCGTATGTTATAGCCACGACATATGCATGAATGCGGGCTACCGGATCCAAATTGCTTAAAATTTTGTGGGACAATAAAAAATGACCTTATGAACAATAGTCATGGATTCAGCATGACCGTTCCACCTTTTTGGGCATTTTAGGGCCAAAAATGGAATTTGGGCAAATTCCAAATTTTCGTGTGTTATAGTCCACGCCATCTGCATGAATCCAGGCTACCATATCCAAATTGCTTAAAATTTTGCGGGGCTACAAAAAATGACTTAATGAATAATAGTCATGGATTTGGCATGATCATTCCTCGTTTTTTGGCATTTTAGGGCCAATAAGCTAGAATTCGGGTCGATTTCTAAATTTTCGTGTGCTATATAGTCCAAGCCATCAACTTGAATCAGGGCTATCGGATCCGAATCACCTAAAATTTTACTGGGCCATCAAAAATGACCTTATGAACAATAGTCATGGATCCGGCATGAGCATTCCTCCCTTTTGACATTTTAGGGCCAAAAAATGGAATTCATGCCGATTCCAAGTTTTCGTGTGCTATAGTTCACGCCATCGGCATGAATTCGGGCTACCGGATCGGAATCGCCTAAAATTTTGCGGGGCCATAAAAAATGACCTAATTAACAATAGTCATGGCTTCGGCATGACGGTTCCTCGTTTTGGCATTTTAGGTCCAAAAAACTTGAATTCGTACTGATTTCCAAATTTTTGTGTGTTATAGTCCACTCCATCTGCATGAATCTGGGCTACCAAATCCGAATCGCTTAAAATTTTTTGGGGCCATCACAAATGACCTAATGAATAATAGTTATGGCTTTGGTAAGACCGTTCCTCCTTTTTGGCATTTTAGGGCCAAACACCTAGAATTCAGACCGATTTCCAAATTTTCGTGTAATATAGTTCACGCTATCTGCATGAATCCGAGCTACCGGATCCGAATCGCCTAAATTTTTGCGAGGCCATTAAAATGACAAAATGATCTAATGAAGAATAGTTACGGCTCTCCTAAAATATTTCAAGTCAATGTTATCAAAGGATTGATTTCTGTATCTACATACAACCTTAATCAAACCCTTTCATTTCTTCATTAGAGAGTTCAACTTGAGGAGAATCTTACATATAACCTTTGTAATAAAACTGAATGCCCTTCCCATGCATAATGAAATAATTACTGCCTTATGGCTTAATACATTTGTAATAGTCAAAAGGATTGACTTACATGAAACTCAAATAGAGTGAATCTACTATGTGTAGCAATCAACATTTCAGATCTAATCCTAAAAGAGGAAACTATGTTCATTTTGGCATCTAATTGCAACTAGAGCTACACCACTTCTCTACTGCACTAATATGGGACTGCTGCTACCGAAAGAGCTTCCAATATGATGCTGCGAATCACGAACTAAAATGAGCTTGATCATTTGATTTTGGGAAGACATGCAAACGTCAAGACATTCTTCCAGATCTGCGTCGCATGTCAGTAAAACCCACTCAGAGTCATCATCCATGTACTTGAGTTGAAGTCCACTGGGATCGTCTATGCCAAAGCGCCTAGTAATTTCTCTCAACAGTTCACTGTATCTCCAACTGTTTTGCATCCGGAACCTAATCTTTTCTTCTCCATGTGTCACTTTTACTCGTGGAGCTTCTTCTTGAGATCTCAAAGGACCCTTCTTCACTAGAAGGCTTTCTGATTTAGGATTCTCAGCAACACATGCATGGCTTTGCGATCTTGGTAAAATCTTCAGTGTTTCACTTGATAAATGAAGCTCTGGTTCACTTTTAACCCTTTTCACTGCGTTATCAACAGACTCTTCCTGGACAATTGGATCGTCATTACCAGCAATACTCAAAGGGGAAGATTGTGGCTTTGTACCAGATGAACAACATTGACTTGAACTGGAACTTCGACTACAAGAAGAGGAGGGTGACTTAGATGCAGCAGCATGGGGGCTCATAACGCATCCTTCTTGTTGCGCATTCAAGGCCTTTGGATGTTCATTTGACTTTGAGTTTGCAAAAGGGCTCAATCTTGATACATTTGGAGATGCTAACTCTGGGAAGTTTGAATAGAAGGATTCAATTTGTAAAGAGCCAGAGGCACCCTGAACTGAATCAATAACACGTTGGATCTTTTGTAAGGAGTGACCAACCTTCTTGATCTTTCGAGAAGGCCAGCGTTTAATTCCATGCTGCCTGCATATCCTCTTCAGAGTGGTAGGACAAACTGTAATTCGAGAATTAGAAAGAAGGGGACAGAAGAAGCAGCAAAAGACAGGTTAAAATTTTTGTATGTTAAAGGTCCACCAGGACAAAGCAACCTATAGGATTAGTATGAAAATTATAAACCAAAATGAGAAAGCAGAGGTAAAAAAAGGCATGCATTTGGATCCTATCCATGAAAGTTACTTGACAACTGATGCTTACCTCCAATGCTCTTCGCAGCATCTTTTAAGCTACCGGCAAAATATTGCTGAAGAATTTCCAAGGTAATAGTCTTCTCAGCCTTTGTGCGTCTCCTGTCTCCCTTTTTACCATTACGAGAGACACCCTCCCCAGAAGCACAATGGTTTTCATTTAAGGCAAAATCCATCCCATAATCAGAATCATTATGGTGCCTAAACTCCACAGGTTCTTTCCTTAGCATTTCGTCTGGTTTCTCATCATGGAATGCAGAAACAACAGTAGAACTCTCCTGGAACTCTGCGTCACAAGAGGTCCACGATGTCCTTTCTTGAGAAGTTTCAGTCTGCTCTTTATTGGATCTAATAAATGAGGGGTTTGCCGCTTCGCCTATAGAAACAGCTTCTTCCTGCAACTCTTTATCTGTCACAACCCTTAAAGTCCGGCAAACATTTTGTATGATAATGGACAACGAAGTAAGCATTTTTCTATGTTCTTCAGGATTTCTGCAGTCTGAGGGTAGAAAGAACTCCAAAACAAAGTCACATG